TGAATGAAGTTGGATTAGAAGGAAAGTGTACAACTGTGTTATGCTTTGACATTAGAAATTATCTTGTATCAGCTGCGCTCACCCTTTTTTAATTGGACATTTTCTGCTGTTCTCAGTTCTTTGTCCATATTAACAGGGAGCCTTGTTTTGACCATATCTATCCTAGATTTCATGGTGTTTTATTGGAAATTATCGATGTTTATTTCTTTTGGCCAAATTTACTGAAATACCAGCTTTGCTTGTGAAAAAGCCCTTGCACTATATACTTGCTTCATACTCCATATTGGACAGGAATACATAGTTGGTGCCCACATCATCCTGCTTTTTCCTGCTCGTTTTCCCCCCCCCCCAATCACATTAATTTATTGGTTCTCCTTTCTTGTTTATTCTCAGCCTCTGGTGCAGAACCTGTACGGGACATCAGATGTGAATTCTGTGGGGAATATTTTGAGAATCGCAAAGGGCTCTCCAGCCATGCCAGATCCCATCTACGTCAAATGGGGGTGACTGAATGGTACGTGAACGGTTCTCCGATTGACACACTCCGAGAAATTCTGAAAAGGCGAGCTCAACCTCGGACCAATACCTCGAGTTCCCCAGCACATGGTCAAAAGTCAGTCACCCAGTCTGTTCTTGGAGGTTCTCTGGAACCCTGTAGCCCAGGAGAAAGCCACATGCCTGGGATCTCTAAGAAGGCACAACAGCCAGGGAGCCCCATGGGGCACTCGCCTACCTCTTCTCCTCCCCCAACTGCTAGAAAGATATTCTCCGGGCTTCCTCCTTCTTTGCATAAGAAATTGAAGCAAGACCAATTACGAATGGAAATCAAGCGGGAAATGATATCTGGGGGACTTCATAATGAATCGCATCTGTCTGACAGAGGCTGGTCACCACGGGAGGAGATGTCTCCACTCAATCTCTGTAAGTGTTAGTAACGGGTATTGGATGGCTAGTTTTGGGATGCATGTCTGAATGGAACCCCAGTTGGAATGTCATAAGATTTTTTCCTTCTTTGTTTTTATTTTATTGAGCGGTGAATTTTGGATAACAAGACCCTGCATGCCATTCTGACAATTTTATCTGTGTATGCAACTGTATTTTACACTACGGAAATGGATCGTTTTGTTTTGGACAGTTCCTTAATAAAGCAAGAAGGTTTAAAACATTTAGTAATTGGCAAAATTCAGGTCCAAACACTCAATCATTCTAGACTGATTGACCTCCCAATGCCTAGACTTTAAATACTAGAATTCTCCAATCAGCATATCCCTTGCCGAAAATTCTGGTCCTCCTATCTAAAAGATGGCAGTCTTGAAGAACAGCTATCCTACAAGTTGCAAATGGTTGAAGCACAAATGATCAGCATCTCACGGCTTTTTAAAACTGCACATGAGTAGCTGTAGAGAAGCAAGATATATAGACAAGGTTAGATCTCCCCACCCTTATGCAACTTGAAAAATGCTGTAGAAATAAATAGGGTTTGGTTTGCTGCTAGTGCCTTGTTTGTTAAACATTTTCTGTGTATCTTTTATCTAAGCTGCTCGTGCAGACCCTGTCCGGGAAATTCGTTGTGAATTTTGTGGCGAGTTTTTTGAGAACCGGAAGGGGCTGTCTAGCCACGCCAGGTCTCACTTACGTCAGATGGGAGTAACTGAATGGTCAGTCAATGGATCTCCCATTGATACACTACGCGAAATCATAAAGAAAAAGAACAAGCCGTGCTTGATCAAGAAGGAGCCGAACACAATGAGCATTGAGCTTCCCACAACTATGGGAGATGATAGAGCTGATCCCAAATCACCTGGGAAAGTTCTGCAGACCATGACATTGTCTCCACTGGGCGGAAAGACTGGAAAACCAAATCTTGGTCGGGATATGTCCTTGTCGCTGCTCAAGTCACAGGAAGGATTCCTGGCACCGCTCTCTGCCAAACGGCCACTATCAGATGAACGACTGGGTGGCCACAGTGAAATGAAGCAGAAAACGTATATCCAGACTGAATTACCATTCAAAGCCAAGCTCCTGCATGAAAAGCCCACTCATACATGTAAGTGTCGTCAAGGTACGGGGAGGGATATGAGTGGGATTCAGATAAAATTTGGAATTCTGTGACAGGGCTTTTCTTAGTGAAATTGAATTGCTTTCTGACTGGGTAGAGTGAAAAAGATGGTTAAATAGTAAGCCAGCACCTCTTGGTATTTCATTTTGTTTTATAACAACTCCAAGCCTGTAGTAGTAATATACTTAGCAGTTTCATACAAGCTCTTTAAGGCAAATAATCATCTGTTGGGATAGTTTTAAAGTGTGGAACGTGGGCGTATCTTTCTTCCTTTCCGTGTGTTTAATTCTCCCACCCTCACCGTGGTTCATAAAGAGGTTTCATCCGGTTTGCAGAAGCAAACAAATAAACTACTGTATCTCAGCCATAGTTCCGTGCCCTCAAAGTGGCCAAAGGTATTTGCAGCATAACTGTTTTTATACAAAGAATAGCGAGTTTAGTTAGCTTGTAAGTAGGAAGTTAAGAGTCGGAGAAAGCAGTACTTTAGGGATTTCAAACAGAACTTTTCAAAAGCCTCAGTCCTGAGTGATATTTAGGGAGACATAGAAATCATGAGATGGAACAGGTAAGGATATCGTTCAAATCCTGAAGTGCTGATTATGTCCTTTATTGAGGATTTTGCTCAGTCTAGCTCCCTGCCTTTTCTGCTTCCAGCCAGTGAAGCCTGCTGCGAACTCTGTGGCCTCTACTTTGAGAACCGTAAAGCACTAGCCAGCCATGCTCGGGCACATCTCAGACAGTTTGGAGTAACTGAATGGTGTGTGAACGGATCCCCAATTGAGACTTTAAGTGAGTGGATCAAACATCGCCCCCAGAAAGCCGGAGCCTATCGCAGCTACATCCAAGGTGGGCGGCCCTTTGCAAAGAAGTTTCGCAATGCCGCTCACATGCGTGATGGTGATGCCTCTGGGAAGAGAGTTGCTCTGAGCCTGCAGGCAGGCAGTCCTTCACTGATGAGCAGAAGCCTAAGCGGGGAGATGATGCCAAATGAGCCCAGTAAAGCTGTGGATGGTTGTGGCGGCGGTGAGCGGCCTGCAATCACATCTCCTTTGTCACTTGTAAAGTTGGAGGAGCATCATCAGCATAACATCAACAGTGAGTCATTGCTCTTAGATTGCCAGCACAAGAAGCATTGCAAAGCTGGCTGGAGAGAAAGGCCTTGGTAGAGGAGGCATCAGCTTCCTTGTGGGGAGATAGGTAAACTGGCAGAGATTTGAGCGTTCCTAGTTTGTAAAGTTCCTGGAGGAACGTTGTCCATGGGGTCGCAATGGGTCGGACACGACTTCGCAATTAACAACAACAACAACAGTTTGTAAACACCTCATTGTATATGCCTGATGGCTCAAATGGTCTGGGTAATTCCAGCAAAGGACTTGAGTAAGGTCAATTAAGAGACGGTTAGGTTAAAGGCTCAGATAATGTTGTTAATAATAATAATAATAATAATTGGAAGGGACCTTGGAGGTCATCTAGTCCAACCCTCTGTTCAGGCAGGAAACTCTATAACATTTCAGACAAATGGCTGTCCAGTCTCTTCTTAAAAACTTCCAGTGTTGGAGCATTCACCGCTTCTGGAGGCAGGTTGTTCCACTGGTGAATTGTTCTAACTGTCAGGACATTTCTCCTTAGTTCTAGGTTGCTTCTCTCCTTGCTTAGTTTCCATCCGTTGCTTCTTATCTTGCCTTCAGGCGCTTTGGAGAATAGCTTGACTCCCTCTTCTTTGTGGCAGCCCCTGAGATATTGGAAGACTGCTATCATGTTCCCCCCTCGTCCTTTTCTCCATTAAACTAGACATACCCAATTCCAGCAACCGTTCCTTATATGCTTTAGCCTCCAGTCCCCTAATGTATTCCAGAATGGGCAGAGTTGTTTAGAAAATCTGGCATGACTTTCAGACTCCCTTCCTTTTCTTATCCCCCTTCCCAGCCTTGGTTTTCCTGAACACATCTAATGTTCAAAAAGTCCTTTCTATTCCACCTCTACCTCAGCTGGAATCAATTGACTGTATTCCATACACTTTCTGAACTGAATCTTTCTCTTCGTTAGAATTTGAACGGAGACAGGCTAAGCCCATTGAGGCTCCTCTGCCTAGGGAAGAGGAATCCACTGACTTGCAACAGAGGGCTGAAGAGGTCCGCCAGCCAGCCCCCAGAGTGAGACCGGTGCCCTCTTTGGTTCCTAGGCCACCGCAGACTTCCTTGGTGAAATTTGTAGGCAACATCTACACGCTAAAGTGCAGGTTTGTCTCATTCTTTTATTGTATTAATTCCTGAATTCACAATTAGATATTAATCATGGAAATCATCTGTGGCAACGCCCTGCATCTGGGTGACCTCAGACAGTTTTTCTTTTTCAAAACCTCTTTGGAAGCGAAGAGATAAATGGGGAATCTCAATTGATGTTTTGCACGTATAATTTTTCACTCTTTGGCACTCAGACCGATACCAATAGACATTGTGTTCTCTCTGCAGATTTTGTGAAGTGGAGTTCCAAGGACCCCTCTCCATCCAAGAGGAGTGGGTGCGGCATCTTCAGCGCCACATTTTGGAGACTAACTTCTCCAAGGCCGATCCGTTGCGAAGTGGGACTGATGTGCCTGCAGCACCACCTGTAGCTGAAGCCCAATAGCAAAGCTCTTAGGAAGCACCAGCATTCCAGGGTTTCTGCCTTACATTTCCAAATGTACAAGAATAATGTTGAACAAATATAGGGGGTGAACACAATATTTGTTTTTCTGAATTCTATAGCTTCGCCACAGAGTCCAGGTATTTGTAGACTTAATTTGGACTTTAAGAGGCTAAGAGAAGAGTCCAGAGTTTGAGCACTAAATAAACCATGTTCGGGTTTTGGGGCGATGTCCTTATTGACAGCAGTGGCATTCCACACTAGAGCTTCTTGTGTGTGTCCTGTCTGCGCAGAGGGAAGATGGGATTTTTTTTAAAAAAAAAAAGAAGCAAAAAAGAATTGTCCTTAACCTTCCAGTAAATGCAAGTTTTTCCAAAGACACACTCTCCTGACAAGGAGAAAACATGCACTTGCTCTGTTGCAGTTCAGGCTGTAGATGATGTTTTGGTGAGAGTTATGAATATGAGGTTCTAGTGAAAGTTGTGAATGCAGGGATCATTTTGAGCCCGAACGTAAGCTGGGAGGGTAGAAGCAGAGCTAAGTTGCTGTGTGGGGAAAGGTATTGATTCTATATGTGACCTTAATATATGTTTGATTCCTTAGGTGACAAGTCTTTAGTTTCTGTGGACGTTGGATCCTGTTCTGCATGTTCACATCCTCTAATTGTGTGTAATGGGGTTCTCCGTCCCAGTACGTTATAGGGGAAATCAAGAACTCCTTGACCATATACGTTTGCCTCTTCCTTACTCCTTAATGTCAGTTGGTTATCTTTGTTTCCTGTGGAATTTTATATGTAGGTAATCCTACTCTGCAATACTATGGCAGTGTGATTTTGGTAGAGGGGTAAGATTCTCTTTTATCTTAAACCTTGGGCTAACGATTGACCTCTGCCTGAAGATGACATGTCCTTCTGGCCAGTTCTGAATTAATAAGTTATATCCAGGAGTGACTGAAGAACCTGCAGCACAGCCTTTTGGACTTCTAGTTGGAGGGGCTTTCTGTGTTGTTTCCTTTCTAGCAGGCACTTGGTGCAGTTCCCAGATCAGCAACAGTAAGTCCTACTGGAATTTCTGCTTTCCTGTTTTTGATGACTGTTGCTGTCTTCTTTCTCTTCATTGAACCTCAACTTTTTAAACTCTAGTTTTGTGTAGAAATGATGAACATTTGCTTTTATTTGGAACTCAAAGCTGATCAAAGCTCGGAGAGAAAGTACCTTTTAACTTTTTCAATAGGCATATTCTGGTTATTATTGTACCTAGGAATATGTATATTAGATTAAACTTCTGTTCTGGAAACAAAATGGAGAATCTGAATGTGTGCTTTTTTGAGTCTTTGTAGAAAAATGAAAGATTACCAAAAAATAAAAAAGAAACCTAGGGTTTATGTAGAGGGAATTCCAAGAGTGGAAGCATAAACTACAAAAGCCATTGATTAGAAATGAAAAAAGAGATACCCTTAAAATATGTTGCATCTCCTCTTTTCCCACCCAGGGGAACACTCAATGACTTCAGCAAAGGAAACAGTTTTGGCTCAGAGAAAAAACATGGTTTCCTAAACTTCAAAAGAAAACATGGATGCTATGCTAAAGTGCTTAATATCACCTTTATTAAAATGCTAATAATGAAGCATAAAGCTCCAGGTAACAAATTCCCTATTTGCTTCTCAAAATATTAATTTGCTAAACTACACTTGCATTAATTAAGCAACTGAGCAATGAACATTTGACACAGTATGGGATTTATGGTTGGAGTATTCTGTGGGGCAAAACTAAGAATAATGGCAACACTGGGTTGCAGACATTGAAGGGGTACATTTAAGAAGACAACATCCAAGCAGGGCAAGGGCAGTCATAGCCGAATTCTTATAAGCAGTAATGTTTTACCCACTCCAATCTGTCATCCAAGTCCCAAGTGTTTTGATTTTCTTGAAAAGTTTCCCTGTTTTTTGTCAGGGAGAAATTATTGTAGCTAATTTCTGTTGTGTAATTAAGTTTTCATGAAAAATGAAAGCAGCTTTGATTAATATACAGCTTTCATGAAAAATGAAAGCAGCTTTGATTAATATACATGCAGACACATATCCCTAATGTTCCACTAACAACTGATCTAAGGCCAGCTTTGTTTTCAATACTATTATTTTTCTGAGAAGTTAATTCATCCTGAGGTTTCTTACAGCTGTTTGATGTGTCATTAAGAAAGATTTCAAAAACAAAATACACATTTGCAACAAATTCAGTTAAATATTAAAATCCTGTCTACAAAATGGGAGGGGATGAGAGGAGCTTGTCAACAATCATACTTGGGGGCATAGGAAAAAGAGGATATCCTTTACCTACATTTGGGGGGCGAGTGTTGACAAGGAGAAAATCCTACAAGTTTTATTTTGCAGGCCAACATTTTTGATCACATAAAGCTTGAGCTGAACAGGAGTATTGTTCTCCTAGCCCACAGGTGTCAAACTCGCCACATCACGTGATGTGTCGCGACGTATCACGGCTCTTTTTGCATTGCTGGCAATGTGGTGGGCGCGGTTTCAGTATGAAACCGGCCCACGGGCTGGCAGTTTGACACCCCTGTCCTAGCCTATCCCATATCCATTTGTTGCATATAAAGGTTGCAAAAGGAACAAAAGGCCAACAGAAATCATGGCTGTTTAAAAATAAGTCCACAAAGATTCTCAAAAGAGTTCCTAGAGTCTGTCAAAGTCAGCAAAGGTTCACTGTCCCACCGGTTAAAAATCCAGGCCCTTTTTAAGCCACATGAAATCTCTAGCTGGAATGGATGGATCTAATCAACTGTGGCCTTCAGCAGTGCTGCCTTCCAGTGCTCACTCTGCTGCTTCTGTAAGGATAGAAATTTTTGCCATTAGTTCATCTCGCCCCAACTGAAGAAACTTCTCATAAGCGATACCAAAGAGAACAGGTGCAAAGACTGAACAACACAAGGTTCTTCAGCAGTCCTTAAAGCTTCAGCAGCCTGATAAGTGATTGCCTTTAGTAATAAAAGGGCACCCAAAAGTGAAATGACCAGATCTGTACACTGCTTCAAGTTGACTAGCTAGAAGCCTGTTTCTTAAGTGGCTAAACACTAATTTGTAAAGGCTTGAGTCTGACATTCAAGGAGAATAGTAGCACCTCCTGAGGAACAACAGTCAATGGAAAACCCATAATCAAGTCTTTAGGTATTTGAACAAGGACAGTAGCAGCCAAAGTTCTTGGGCAGGGGTGACAAACTGCCCGCCCGCGCGCCAGTTTCATCATACCAAAGCTGCGCCCACCCCATTGCCGGCAATGCGAAAAGTTGTGATACATTGCGACATATCACGTGACATGGCGAGTTTGACATCTGTGCTGTTGGGCATCCAATTGCATCACAAGCAATGGTCCAGTTGTTTAGTGCTTACCCCCTCCTGGCTCCTGGTTGTTTGCCGCCTCCTAGATGTGGGAGTGAAGTCACAGTTTTTGTGTGTTCTTTGAGGCAGGCTGATCTGAGCCCTGCAATCCTGGGACAGGTAAAACAAGTAGATAAAAACTATCTGAGTTCATACATCACACAAAGCCAGAAAATGTATGTTTGGTTTTATTATGTCTATTGTGTGAAGCTGATGTAGCTTGTACACTACACTACACTTTAAGATTTCACATTTGATAGCTCAGTAAAAAAGAAGTATCTAGTTTTTTTTTACAAGTAACTTATTTAACAAATCTATGAAGAAATGAGACCTGTAAAGACAGATTTGCAACATTAGGTCTCAAGGACCTATCACAGTGGCTCTCAACCTTTTATATACCCCGCACCCCTAGAATGTTTCTGATATATTCTCACACCCCTTACAAAAGTTCAAAATAACGGCAACAAATTATGCATATACACTATAATTTTGAAAACTCAAAGTTTTTGCACCCTCTGGAATATCTCATATCCCTAGGGGGTGCGAGCACCCCCGGTTGGGAACCCCTCACCTATCATTTAATCTTATATCTGTTCTAGTCTTCCTCCATAGTCTGATTCTTGAGTTTACGAATAGAAAGAAACCCCGGTTTTAAGAATCAGGGATTCTTTAAATAGCAACTATGAAGCATTAAACACTGTGAAAATTAGTTTTCAAATATGGCAACAAAGGGAAATTGTTCAGTTCACCCTATTGTATACCTTTTTAAAAGCACACTGGAGGTACAGGTGTGTTACTCAGTTTTTGAAATTAAATATTAGAGTCATAAAGTGAATGCTAAACATTAGCTATAGTTTTGCTCTGTTAGAAAATAATCAATTTATTTTCACAATAAAATTGCTTTCTGTCTGTCTGGTGTGATACAATTATGCCTTAATGTTCAAACTAAACATTTTGATGTTATAGTAATTATTTTATAGAAAGATGAAATCCAAACTGGTCCTATTCAAAGTAGACTCAATCCCTGGGGACTTCACAGACACAGGTTTTCCATGTAGTTTTCTTGCCAATAATACGGAAGTGGTTTGACATTGTTTCTTCAATATTTGGGCAGGGTGTGTGGGTTTTTTTTTTCTTCTTTCTGTTTTAGCTTTGCTTCCCAATGGCCCAGTCTAACCTGCGCCTTTGGAATTCCCTTGTACTCTCCCTTTCGAATACTATACTAACAAGGTCATTAGAGCCCAGCCATGGCTGACCAGATGCTCCTCCCTGCGACCAGTTCCACAGGTTTTGTTTGGGTGTCAATCTGTGGCAGTGCTGTAGTGTTATATTGAAAACATAGGGCCTCAATAGGAAGCAATGCCAGAGGTTAAAAAAGCAGCCAATATTTAAAGGCTATCAGCTCATACTTCAGAGCCCCTGCTTTACAATCTGAATCAGATTTAGCAAGATTTAGCCAGACTCTTTTAAGGGGTGTTTCATTATTAGAGAACAATACTGCATTGCAGTAGACTGTGTTGCAGAGTCAATCTAATGAAATGGAAGTAGTCTTTATCTCACTGCCAAGAGTTATTTTCTCTGCCAGACAGCCATGATTTTATACATTCACTGTGATTAGCAGGCTAAAATTTGCAGACTAATGAAGCTCATTGGCTTAAAGCACAAGAAATAAAACAAATCTGAAACCTAGAAGGCCTAGAAGGCAATGACTAATCAGTTCTATATGTCAAGGAAACAATACTGTATGGGTATGTCAGTGAAGTCACCAGGAGTTGACTCAAAGTTTTAATTAATGTCAATCTCAACTTGCAACTAACCTGGGATAAATCTGTAACGTTTCCTCAAATGGTTTAAATTTAATTCAACATAAGCCGTTCTATCCCAAAGGTGCTTTTTCATCAGGCAATTGGACTTTCTTGTTTTTCTTTGAAGACGTTTCAATTCTCATCCAAGCTTCTTCAGCTCTGACTGAATGATGGGGAATGGAAGGATTTGTACGATTTATATAAATCCTTCCATTCCCCACCATTCAGTCAGAACTGAAGAAGCTTCTAGGATGTGAATGGAAACGTCTTCAAAGAAAAACAAGAACATCCAGTTGCCTCGTGAAAAAGCACCTTTGGAATAATTATGACCTAGATGACTGAGAATCTCCATAGACAATAACCCCTTCTATTAGCCTTTTTTTTAAAAAGAACGAACCATGATCCACGCGATACCTTGAGTGGAAACTTTTTCCTACCAAACAGCATATTCATTGATGTTCTGCGCTGATTGTGTGCCATCAATTTCGACTTCTAGCGACCAAATCGATATTCACCATGAGCTTATTATACAACTAATGTTCTGCATGAGAGGGCGCTCGAACGACGCCAAGTAGTCCATAAAGAGAGGCCCCACCTACACAACAGCACGTAGCTGGATCTGTGTTACAGTATTGCAGCCCCCACTGGGTGTCATCGCGGACCTCCTCCTTTTATCTCTCGGTGGAATCGCCTTCGGCTCCGTCGGCGATACCACCTAATGGCTGTTCCCTCGTTATCTGAATATACTCCCTCGGCTTCAGAGAAATCAGGGAGCTGACGTCCCAACATTTCAAAGGATCTTCAGGAGCCAAAGGAAGGAAGAGAGCTCGCTACACAAAAGGACACCGCACCCCAAACTAGCCAGCTCTCCGACAACGGCAGCCCCCCGAGGAAAAGCGCGCTCATCCTAGTGTCAATATAAGAATTCAGCGGCGCCTCCTATTGAACGACGTGAAAGAAATAGGCGGCCCGCCTGCAATCCAGAAAACCAGCGTGCGCAAATTATCACTTTGCCACCAGTGATAAGAGTTTAGACCCAATCACCTCGTCAGGACATCGAGCGGCAGACGTAATTCGCTGGTGGAATAAAGCTGACATTCCTCTTTACCTACCGCTTAACCAGTATATCTGATGGACGTTTTTCTTCATCGAGTCAGCTGTGGAACTTGGACCCTCAGGGCCCAATAGAACCGGAAAGAGGGCGGGATGAATGGAAGACAGTCACCAATGAAAGACAGGCTGGGAAAGTGACCAAGGCGATCGGTGTCGGGAGGCGGGGCTAAGCGAGCTACGGTTGCCGTCTGGCGCAGGAGAGGTAACGGGTGGGAAGGAGCGGCGTTGGGAAGCGCTGGGACCGCCACCGCCATCATGAGCTATTCAGGTAAGGGAGTGGGTGAGGAGACGGGCTTCTCGGGCAGGACGGTTCACGGAAGGGGGCGGCTTTGGCTCTGCGGGAGCGGACTGAGAGGAGGGCGATAGGCCCAGCCCATGGCAACAGTCCGGGGGTGGGGTCACGATCCTGCCACCCCCTCGAGCCCTTGCTGGCTCGAGCTCCTCGCCGCCGTCCCTGGCCGAAGCGGAAGCCATTCGTTCATCTTTCTCGTGAAACGGGCGGGCAGGCGGAGGCTTTGGCCCTTTGAAGGAGGGTCGTGAGGTGCGTCGCCTCATTCTGCTCGTCGGAGCTCAGCCTGCCCGAACGACGCCGCTGCCTCCCCCTCCCCCACGCACTTGTGGAAGCGCGAGAAACGAAGAGAAGCATATCGGTCCCCTGCGCCGCCGGCGTGAGAGACAGAAACGGAGCCTGGCATCTTTAGTAGCCTGTCGTCTGCCCGCATAAGACCTCCCCGCTCCCACCCTGTCCTTGCGAGTAGTTGTGACACGAGTGGGTGTGAGAGAAGACGCACGGAATCCACTTCGGCAGTGGTTCCCTTTAAAAACTCTCTCTCTCTCCCTCTCCCTCCCTCCCTCCGCTGGGGTTTCTTTCCGACCCTGAAACCGTTTTAGCGTGGATCCGTTTTTCGGATTTAGACGGGTTCCGTCTGTCAAACGAGTAGTGCACAGTTGCAATACTATAGGACAAAGGCAGGTTTGCTAGGCCTGTTGCCTTACTCTTCCTTCAGTATTAGAAAACTATTAAGACTTTTTTATTTTTTTCAAAGCTGGATGCGAGCTTCGGAATCTTTATGGGTTCTTGTAGCGGTGGGATTCAAATATGTGAACAGCCGGTTCTCTGTGTGGATGCCGCTTCCGGAACTCCCTTCTGGGCCTGGGCAACAAAGAATTAGCTACCGGTTCTGCCGAGGTGGTGTGAATCAGCTGAATCCCACCACTGCTTTCTTGGATATTTTCTGTGTCTTGATATAGTGCAACATTTTTTTCCGTAATACTTTGGTGAGGTCTGTGTTAGGTTTAAGCTAAATATCCTTCCTAAAATTGAGGAGGTACCTTCAGAAGTGATCATTGTCAGGGGGTGCATACAATCTTCTTTGGCCCTTGTGTGCCAAAGTTTCAAAATGTATGCTAAAGAGGATTGTAGCTGAATACTTATCCTCTTTATAATTGCTCAACAATTTGGTGCATTAAATGTGATAAACTTCCCTCTGCATGTATATTAAGTCTTGTAAATAATTTTTCAAAATCTAGTGCCACTTTTGATTTCAAATACTTAAGTAAAACCTTGATACTGGAGTATAGAATGACCTCTGTGTAGTTCTGACTACCCTACTTTGTTCTTAAGTAAAGTTTTTTTCCTTAGTATTCTACAAATGAGGTAGACTTGCAAATTTTACTATAACACATAAGCTTCCATGAGCTGCAACTCAGCCATATGTGTAGGATGGCTTAACTTATATGAGATTTTAATTTTTTAAAAATGTTAAATATGAGGCATTGAAGTAAAACAGTTGGAGTATAGAGTGATTATGCAGATGAAATTTCATGGGGCACATACTACAAATACTTTGTCAGTTAGCAATCATTAGATGCTAAAAATTATCTTTGTTCAAACATTTAGAAGTTTTATTATGTTATCAGCTAAATTACAGCTCTTCATAATATCATTTTAGCTATTGTCTGTCCATTGCAGGATGAAGGCCTCTTCCACATGTTTCCAACATACAGTCCTGAGCTTTCCTTTCCCAATTGGGCCTGCAGTATTTGCTGATGTCATTGATCCATCTTGTTTTAGATTTTTTTCATGGATGCTTTTTATCAAGTGGGATCCCTTCTATGACTGCCTTAGTCCACCTGCCATCAGTTCTTCTTGCTAAGTCAGCGGCCACTTTCCATTTCAATTCTTTTACTCTTTTGATGATATATAATTTCATTTCTCCTCTAATCCATGTGCAGGTCTTTCTATCAGGTATATCTTCATAATATATCTGAGATTTTGTTTTGTAAATTTTGTTTTGAATTTCTGCAGATCTGTGAATGATTCTTTACCTTGTACTAAAGTGTTTTAGATTATACAAGGAAATAATCAAATTGCTTAGATTCCATACATTTCTTGAGTTTATTATATTAGTGTCTTTTAAATAAACAGTGTTGGAAATCAGTGATTAAACAAAAAGAAGAATTCAGGATTCCTTTTCCAATAGAAAAAAAGGAAACATGGGAAAATAATGTATTATCTTCTGGTATGATGGAATTATTTTTTCAACAGGTGGTGGTTTTATTGAAAATCTGTATTGAGGATCTTTGGGAATAGAAATCTAAAACTTGGAGAAAACAGTTGTGCATATTTTATATATAAATCATTTTGGGGATTCAGACAGAAAAAGTATGTTGATAAAAACAGTGTTTCAGTTACCAAAGAAAGTTAAGTGTGATTGGACTTGGTAGATGATGATGATGATGATGATGATGATAAGTAGTAGTAGTAGTAGTAGTGGACCTTGGAGGTCATATAGTCCAACCCCCTGCTCAGGCAGGAATTGTTAATTGTTAATTGTTCTCACTGTCAGGAAGTTTCTCCTTAGTTCTAGGTTGCTTCTCTCCTTGATTAGTTTCCATCTGTTGCTTCTTGTCCTGCCTTCAGGTGCTTTGGAGAATAGTTTGACTCCCTCTTCTTTGTGGCAACCCCTAAGATATTGGAACACTGCTATCATGTCCCCCCTCATCCTTCTCTTCATTAAACTAGACCACAGGTCGGCAACCTGCGGCTCCAGAGCCGCATGCGGCTCTTTGAGCCTTCCCCTGTGGCTCCCAGCCTCCTCTGCCTTTGCAGAGAGAGACAGAGACAGAGAGAGGCAATTGCGCTTCCCTGCTTTTCTCTCTCTCTCTCTCTCTCTCTCTCTCTCTCTCTCTCTCTCTCTCTCTCTCTCTCTCTATGTGTGTGTGTGTGTGTAAAAGAGAGTGCACTCACAGTGTTCTCCGAGGAGCTGAAAAGCTTACTGGGCGGAGCTCCTTCCTTTGCTGCGTCTCTGCAGGAAGCAGGAAGCAGGAAGGGCAGGAGAGAGCTAGCTAGCCCAGCTAGGCTGACTCAGGAATTCTAGGAGTTGAAGTCCATGAGCCATAAAAGAGCCGAGGTTGCCTACCTCTGAGCTTGTTGGACAACAACTTGAAGCTTGCCAGGTGAGCAGCAGATAGGGGGGGGGGAGAAAGAGAGAGAGAGAAAGAGAGAGAGAGAGGGAGGGGGAGAGGAAAGAGAGAAAGAAAGAGTGGGGGAAGAAGAGTGGCAGACCAAGGACAGAGAGGGAGGGAGGGATAGAGACAGAGAGAGAGAGAGAGAGACCCTTTTGATATCTAAAATGAAGATAACACTGCATATATCCTTTTTTTACCTGTGTGTGTATGTAATTTTATTCTCTTAAAGCATTCTCTTGGTGATCATTGTTTTAATAGTATGGATATTCCCAAGAGTCACATTTTTACTTTTATTTTTAATGTGTGTGTGTGTGTGTGTGTGTGTGTGTGTGTGTGTATGTGTGTGTACATACATACATACACATAAACACACACACACACACACACACACACACACACACCCCTACCTATAATAAAGATAAAAAAGGATATATGCAGTGTTATCTTCATTTTAGATATCAAAAGGGTTTTGCGGCTCCCGGTGTTTTGTTTTTGGTGGGAAACGGGTTCAAGTGGCTCTTCGAGTGTTTTGGGTTGCCTACCCCTGAACTAGACATACCCAATTCCAGCAACCATTCCTTATATGTTTTAGCCTCCAGTCCCCTAATCATCTTTGTTGCTCTTATTTGTACTCTTTCTAGAGTCTCAACATCTTTTTTACATCGTATTGACCAAAACTGGATGCAGTATTCTAAGTGTGGCCTTACCAAGGCATTGTAAAGTGGTATTAACACTTCATGTGATCTTGATTCTATCCCTCTGTTAATGCAGCTCATATTTAAGTAATTGTCCACTAGGACTCGGAAATCCTTCTCACAGTTTCTACTATTGAGCAAGGTACCCCCTATACTATACCTGTACATTTGGTTTTTCTTGCCTAAATGTAGAACCTTACTTTTTTCATCACTGAATTTCATTTTGTTAGATAGCACCCAGTGTTCAAGTCTGTCCAGATCCTCTTGTATCTTAAGCCTGTTTCTGGAGTGTTGGCTATATTCCTGCCATCTTGGTGTTATCTGCAAATTTGATGCGTTCCCCATCTATCCCCTCGTCTAAATTGTTGATGAAGATGTTGAAAAGCACTGGGCCCAGAACAGAGTCCTGGGGCACCCCACTACACAGTTCCCTCCATGTAGATGCGGTTCCATTGAGGACCACACGCTGATTAAGGCTGGTCAGCCAGCTACAAATTTATCTGGTGGTGATGCTGTCTAACCTACATTTTTCTATCTTATCAAGTAGTAGGTTGTGATCTATTTTATCAAATGCCTTACTGAAGCCCAAGTAAATTATATCCACAGCATTCCTCTGATCCATTAATTTTGTCACTTGGTCAAACAATGCAATAAGATTTGTCTGGCATAATTTGTTTTTGACAAACCCATGTTGGCCTTTAGTAATGACTTTGTTTGCCTCTAGGTGTTCGCTGATTTGTTGTTTGATTATCTTTTCGAGAATCTTCCCAGGTACTGAGGTCAGGCTGATAGGCAATAGATCATGCCATCGTATTTCTACAGTAAAATCTAGTAGAGG